CAATTCTTTAGTATGTCATCTGTGTATTGTACTGTGTGTTTATCACCCAAAGTGAAGTCTCTTTCCTTCACATTTATCTCCTCGTTACCCTCTGCTACCTTCCACCACCCCCTTAACCTCTGGCAAACACCATACTGTTGTCTGTGTTTATGAGGGGTTTTTTTCTTAATTTTTTTCCATCTTTTTCACTCAGTCCCCCTCACTCCCTCCCCTCTGACAGCTGTCTGTCCATTCTCTGTATCTATGAGTCTGTTTCTATTTTGTTTGTTAGCTTATTTTGTTCATTAGCTTATTTTGTTCATGAGATTCACATATAAGTGAAATCATGGTATTTGTTTTTCTCTGACTGGCTTATTTCACTGTCGAAAAAGGTTAAGATTTTCCTTCCTTCCTTCCTTCCTTGCTTCCTTCCTTTCCTTTTAATACCAGTGTAGTATTCCATTGTGTAAATGTACCACTTTTTTTTATCCACTCATCTACTGATGTGCAGTTGGGATGCCCCCAAATCTTGGCTATTGTAAGTAATGCTTCAGTGAACAAAGGGATGCTTGTTTTTTTTCAAATTAGTGTTTTGGGTTTCTTCGGGTCCACTCCCAGGAGTGGAATCAGTGGGTCATAAGGCAGTTACTTTTTTTTTTTTTGGAGATAACTCCATACTGTTTTGCACAGCGGCTGCACCAATCTGCACTCCCACCGACAGTGCACGAGTGTTTCCATTTCTCCACATCCTTTCAACACTTGTCATTTGTTGATTTATTGATGATAGTCATTCTAACAGGTGTGAGGGGATATCTCATTATGCTTTTAATTTTGCCTTTTCTCTGATGATTAGTGATGTTGAGCATCTTCTCATATGTCTGTTGGCCCTCTGTGTGTCCTCTTTGGAGAAGTGTCTATTCAGGTCCTTTGCCCATTTTTTCAGTGGATCGTTTGGTTTTTTTGGGTGTTGAGTTTTATAATTTCTTTATAAATTCTGGATATTAACCCCTTGTTAGATGTGTCATTGGCAAATATATTATCCTATTCAGTGGGTTGTCTTTTTATTTTATTAATGGTTTCCTTTGCTGTGCAAAAACTTTTGAGTTTGATGTAGTTCGATTTGTTTGTTTTTTCTTTTGTTTCCCTTGCCCAGGGAGATTTATCAGACAAAAGATCGCTATGAAAGATGTCCAAAATTTTACTGTCTGTGTTTTCTTCTAGGATTTTTATGATTTCATGTTTTACACTGAAGTCTTTAATCCATTTGAGTTTATTCTTGTGTATGATGTAGAAGGTGGTATAGTTTCATTTTATTTGCACATATCTGTCCAATTTTTAACCCTAGTTATTGAATGGACTATCTTTACCCCATTGTGTGTTCTTGCCTTCTTTGCAAATATTAATTGACCATAAAGGTGTCCGTTTATTTCCAAACTCTCTGTTTTGCTCCATTTATCTATGTGTCTGCTTTTATGCCAGTACCATGCCGTTGTGGACACCATGGCCTTGTATATATAGTTCAACACCAGGTAGCATGACTCCTCCAGCTTTTTTCTTCTTTCTCAAGATTGCTGTGGCTCTTCAGGGCCTTTGTGGTTCCAGAAAGTTTTGGAACATTTGTTCTATTTCTGTGCAATACACCATTGGTATCTTGATAGGAATTGCATTGAATCTATACATGGTTTGGGTAATATGGATAGCTTAATGATGTTAATTCTTCCTATCCATGAACACAGTATATGCTTCCACTTCTTCAGTTTCTTTATTTAGTGTTCTACAATTTTTCAAGTGCAGGTCTTTTCCATTCTTGGTTTAATTTATTCTCTGATAATGAATTTTTTTGATGCAATTGTAAATAGAATTTTTTTTAGTTTCCCTTTATGTAGTTCATTATTGGCATATAAAAGTGCATCTGATCTCTGAATATTTATTTCGTATCCTGCCTCTTTACTGAATTCATTTATCATTCTAGTAGTTTTTTGGTAGAATCTGTAGGGTTCTCCAGGTAATATATTTGTGAATTTTTCCATTTGTGTAGGTTATAAGTGGTCAAAGAGATCCGTTTTACTTCCATAAACTTTAAAAAATATAGATATTATAGTGAAATGCACTTAACTTTGCTTTTGTTAAGTCTCAGACATTATTTATGTGTTAACTAGAATGTGTTGTAAGCTTACTCTGCCTTATCCTTTATGAATTCTTTATGGTACCATTCACAGTTTCTTTTATATAGATATTTCTCAAACATACTTTTCAGTACGATTTATTTCAGAGAAGCACGCTTTGCTTATGACCCAGTACAATGACTAATGCATTATATTAAGTACCCCTGCGGTGACTGGCATTGGGGCAAAAATACTTCATCTTAAAACCTTTTTAGTTTTGAAATGCTTACTTTTTGTGGGGAAAGGAAAACAGCTGTATGTTTGTCAATTGCTCTGAACTTATTGACTTAGTTGGAAATCAGTTAACTTGGTTATCTTATTCCATTGATGCCATCTGTTTAATCATTCTATAGCATTGTAACTTTATTGTTGTTCAAGTACAGTTGTCCCCATTTTCCTCTCACAACTTTCCCCCACCCCACCCTCAATCCTACTTTCCTTCGGTTTTGTCCAAGGGTCCTTTATCCATGTTCCTTGATGACCCCTTTCCCTTCTTTTGCTGGATATTCCCCTCCCAATGCCTCTCTTATTACTGCGAGTTTGTTCTTTATTTCAGTGTCTTTGGTTATATTTTGCGTGTTTGTTTTGTTGATTAGGTTCCACTAATAGGTAAGGTCATATGGTACTTGTGTTTCACCACCTGGCTTATTTCACTTAGCAGTATGCTCTCCAGTTCCATCCATGCTGTTGCAAAGAGTAGGAACTCCTTCTTTCTTTCTGCTGTGTAGTATTCCATTGTGTAAATGTACCATAGTTTTTTGACCCATTGACTTACTGATGGGTATTTAGGTTGCTTCCAGCACCTGGCTATTGTAAATTGTGCTGCTATGAACATTGGGGGGCATGGGTTCTTTTGAATTGATAATAGGGTTCTTAGAGTATAATCCCAGCAGTGGAATTGTTGGGTCAAAAGGCAGTTCCATCTTTAGTTTACTGAGGAAATTCCATACTGTTTTCCACAGTGGCTGTACCAGTCTGCATTCCCATCAACAGTGTATTAGGGTTCCCTTTTCTCCACAACCTTGCCAGCACTTGTTTGTTGATTAATTTATGATGGCCATTCTGAGTGGTGTGAAATGTGGTTTGAATTTGCATCTCTCTGATGGTTAGTGATGCTGAGCATCCTTTTGTATGTCTCTGGGCCCTCTGTATGTCCTTGGAGAAGTGTCTGTTCAAGTCCTTTGCCCATTTTTTCAATTGGTTTATTTGTCCTCCTGGAGTGGAGTCATGCCAGTTCTTTATGTATTTTGGAGATCAAACCCTTGTCTGAAGTATCATTTGCAAATGTATTTTCCCATATGGGTGGTTCCCTTTTCATTTTGCTGATCCTTTCTTTATCTGTGCAGAAGCTTTTTATTTTAATGAGATTCCATTTGTTTATTCTTTCCTTTATATCCCTTGCTCTTGGGGATGTATTGGTGAAAGTATTACTGCATGGAATATCTAGCATTGTAATTTTGTTTCTTTTCATCTTCATAGTTACGGATCAGCAAGTTTCTTATGAAAAAGCTGGATAGTATGTTTTAGGCCTTGTGGGCTGTCTGGTCTCTCACAGCTACACAGTTGTCCCGTTATAGAAGGAAGGCAGCTGTGGGCCACGTGTAATGACAGGACTTAGCTGCTCCAGTTAAACTTGATCTTCCAAGAGCAGGTGGTGGGCAGGGGTCAGCCTGCTCTGCAGGGGTCAGAGCAGGGCTGCAGGGCTGTGACATGCCAACTCCTGTCTTAGGGTATTAAATATGTATATGCTACAAATAAAAACAGTAGCTAATACACTTGTTAAAAGACTTAAAATACCAGATACTTTGCTAAATGTCTTACCCACTTTCCCATTCACTGCATTTAACCTTTACAGCTATTTTAAATCGTTATTTTGTAGTTTTAGAAGCAGAGACTTAAATAAATCAACTGACTTGCCCGTGGTCACATAGCAAGTGAGTGGAAGAACTGCAGTTCGAACATGGGTACTTTGACCCGAGGGCCTGCCCTTTTAACCATTGCACTGTGCAGCCTCGGGTAACTCTTCTCCGCAACCACAAAGGCTGTAGCTTAGAAGTTGTGTAACGAGTGTCCTAATTTAATTGTATTATATTAGCATAGCAGGGTTTTTCCAGAAAACACACTTTATACAGAAGAGCAATGTACTGAAAAAAAATATATTATTATTATTATCTATTGAAATAATGAAGAACAGAAAAATGTTAAGGAAAATATCGAAAAGTTCTACCAGCTTGCTTTATTTTCAAGAGAAAGGTAGATAGTTTAACAGTGGAAATAAATAAAAATTCCAAAAAAAATCAGTATTTCCTCTGCTTGAATGAGAACATTGATAGACATAAATGCCAGTATTATTTAAAACACTTTGAACGAAAAGTGCTTTATAAATTTAATAAAATTGTATACACACAAATTCCAACACATGTATTGGTATAAATTGCTTAAACCAAATCATACAGTAAATTTCTTCTCCTCCCCAAATCGCAGACTGTTCATAACTTTTATACTTTTTAATTTTGTAAAGTTTTAAGTTCTTAAAAAGTAGTAGTTAACAGGTGAACACTAGGATCCATTGCGTCATCACACTGCAGTTTTTGCACTTAGACAACTTTTTAAGAAAACACTTTGCAATTATTGAATAGTTTATTGCATTTCCCTTTATTTTTAAAAGTAGAGCAAATGGAAAAAATCAAAGTGCTGATGTCACTAAAAAAATAATGGGTACTAAGCTTAATAACTGAAGACAATTGTGATTACGTTAGGAATCATTAACCTCAACCAGATATTATTGGGCTTTACCAGTCAGCTACACATTGAATCTGAATGGAAAAAACAAAATTAAAGGAAATACTAGAAATTCATTGTTAAAGATTTTTATGACTAAAAATAAAATGTTTGACCTAGGATTGGTGCATTTTTTCTCTTGGGGAGCCAGCTTTCATGTCTCCGTTATGTAAAGCCCAATGTTCACCTTTCTTCCACTTGATTTTCCGTGTGTTTTCATTAAAACAGTGTGTACTAAAGAAAGGACTTTCTGTACTGGAAAACACTGTCACAAGTAAGCTTGAAAGAAGTTCAGTTTGGACTTTATATTTTGTTAAGATAAAACAAAATATTTAACTCCTTAGATATTCTCCCCATCACAGAGAAAATGCCTGTTTTCTTGTAGCAGTTTCTCAGCTAATGAAGCCTGTAGATTTTAGGAATAATTAGTGTGTGTTAATGATGTGTCCAGGTGGACTGCAGTGCACAACTGCAAGGCGGCGTTTACTTTTAGACTCCACTGCTACTTTAAATCAGGCAGGTTCTTTCCTTGGCCTGGGTAAGAACTCGGTAAGGAGCAGGTATGACATTTTTGGCTAATATATAAAGTTCTCTTTTCATTTCAAGTAGCGAAAAGTAGATTAAAAATGAAAACATTCAGTTCTGGCTAATAGTGAAAGCCTTGGGCTTGATTTAGTTTCTTGTAGGGTTTCTTGTTCTCTCTAAGGTTGAATATGTTGCAAATGAAAGAGGGAAGATGTGGTTTGCTTCTCTTTTCCTACCTTACTTTTATTTTTCTTCTCCCACATTCTTCACTGACTTCTGAACTCTCCAGGCCTGCTAGGGTGGAAGTGGAGAAGGAAAATTCCTAATTGCCAGTTCTATCTTGGTGATCTTGCGTTGGTGCTGTTTATTTGTGGCTGTGTGTTTAAAGCTAACTACCTGACGGGTGCCTCTGTGGTTGAGAAAACGTGTTTCCCTGGTCACTTAGTGCTGTGGTGATGCACCTGCAGTTCTCCTGCTGAGGGTGCGTTCATCATTTACTCCTTCCTTCATTCTTAGGCCTTTGGTGATTACTCCAGCTTTTTGCTGAGGATTGATTCTTCGTCCTTACTGGCCAGAAACTAACATAACCCATTAGGTTAACAGGTTGATGAAGTTCCTGTCATTTCCTAGTGTGCTTAACACTTTTTTGGTGAAAAACTGTCGGATTTTCTCAAGTGCTATTTCTGCATCTATTTGTGTAATCATATGGTTTCTCTTCTTTATTGAGATGGTGAAGTTCAGCGATTTTTATTATAAAATATGTGTAACATTTGTTGCTTGTAAGTGTATGGTTCAGTGTCATGAAGTATATTCACGCTGTTGTACAGCCATTACTACTGTCCATGCCTAGAAGTTAGGTGTGGAGACTCCAATTACACAATAGTGTGCTTCGTATTGTCTAATAGGCCACTGATTTCTATTCACTTTAATGTGGGAAGAGAGCTTTTTGTTTTCTGTGTGTCTTTGGAGCGTTTCTATGGCTCTGTTACCATGTTCACTGTTGTCTGCAATGTTTAACTGCTATTCATCTCATCAGTGAATTTCTTACTTCAGATTTCTTTTTTCATGTCCAGAAATTCCATTTGGTTTTTAAAATATCTTTCATCCCTTCTCATTTTAATGTTTTTTAAAATTCTTCGAACAGGTCTATGGCCAGCTGTGTTTCAGTGTGCTCACAGTGCCGTTCCTGTTGCACGTGCCCTTCAGCAGCTCTGCTGCTGCCTGATCAACACGTGCCCTCCACCGCTCCCTTCTTGGAAACCGATCAGGCCTTTGTGGATTTCTTGCCTGATAGAGTCTAGATCTTACGGTACTGTCATTTCTGAGGCTGGGTCATAAAAAGCAATACAAATTCTTCCTTGTTCTCTCTTTTATGTTACTCTCTCCCTTGGTATCCATCTACCATGCTGTGAGAAAACCCACATCAAATGGAGAAGCCCATAAAGAAATGAGCCAAAGCCTGAGGCCTTAGCTGAGCTCCCAGCTGACAGCCAGCGCCAACTTGCCGGCCGTATTAATGAGCCATCTTGGAGCAGACTCTTCAGATCTCGAGTCAAGTTGCCACACCTGATGCTCTGTGGAGCCTTCCTTTCTGAGCCCCGCCCAAATGCAGATTCATAAAGAAAATCACTCTTTTTTTTAAAGCCACTACGTTTTGAGGTGGTTTGTTAAACACCTGTAGGTAATTATAGGTAGACATTTATATTTTCTTTTTTAAGTCCTTATTTTTTAATTCCATCATCTTTTTTTATCTACCTTTATTGACCTTGTATTATGGGTCACATTTTTCTGCTTCTTTGTAGTAATTTTTGATTTGATGTTGGATATAGTAAATTTTACCTTGTTGAGTGCTGGATTTGTTTTTAGGAGGATTTGTTCTGGCAGGCAGTTAAATTAGTTAAAAATCATTTTGATCTTTTGGGGGCTTGATTTGTAAGCCTCCTTACAGTGAGTCTAGAGCACCCTTTACTCTAATGTGGGGGAGCCCACTTTTTATGATAGAAAGTGAGTGTTTTTGGCCAACACACCACGTTTTAGGCTGTTCCAGCTGCTCAGCTTTGCCCCTGTAGTGCAGAAGCAGCTGCGGGCAGGTATTGCTGTGTTTCAGGAGCATTTTTTTTACAGAAATACGTGGCAGGCCAGCTTTGGCCCATGAGCTGTGGTTTGCCGACCCCTTCCCCCCGGGACCCGTTCTACAACCTTCTGGTTCCCGCGCCACTCACCTGCCACTGAGGTCTCTGGAGGTCTGTTGTTTATTTTTTGTATCTATCTATAGTCACCATATGGAAAACTATAGCCAAAGAATCTTTAAGTATTTATTTATTAAATAGCATTTAACCTATTATGTTAGCATAAGTAACATTTTTAAGTGGAAAATAGCTGTCTTCCCAAACAAACAAAAATAGTGAGAAGAGTGTTATTGTTTTACTTGTTTGTGAACCTCTTCAGAGTTTCACGTAAGCAAAGACAGTTGCAGTCTAACGCACATTTCTTCATTAAATGCTTTATAACACCCTGTGTCAGCTAGCATCTGGGAAACACCACTGTGTGCTCAGAAGAGAATGAGTCTGAAGAAGACAAATAACGTCTTAGTATTATTAGGAAGATAGTTGTGATCATGTTGATTCTCTGAAAGGGTCTAGGGATCCCCTCAGCCCCGGTGACTCCCAGGTTACTCTCTGAGGTCATTCTGGAGGACAAGATTAGCCTTGTGGTTTACAAACCTTGATCCTTCTGCGATCTCCGGTGAACGTCCGAGGTGTTTGTAGGAATGTTTGGACTCTCCATTTTGGTTGTTGGGAACCGTAATGATTCTCTGTGTCACCTCTGGCAACTGTCTTGATTATTGCCTCCCAGTAGTTCTTTCCCGAGCAGTCACTGTTCTTGGCATGTCTGTTGCAGTGTTGCCGTGTGCGCTGCAGAATGTCTTCAGTCGCAGTCTCCAGGGGACTCCGTGCAGGCTTCCGGAGCTTTCCCTCGGCGGGCAGAGCTCCTCCCTCCGCTCAGAGAGAGTGGGGTCCTGTCGGGTCTTTCACGTGGCCCACCTTGTTCGTGTCCCTTCTCTTGGACCCAGGTGGTTCAGTGTCTGCAGACAGTTTTCCATCTGTGTTGTCTGTTTACTCTAGGTGTTTATGGTGGGAAGGCAAGTCCTGGAAAAATGATCTCTTCATGGGGAGACAGCCCTGACTTTTTGTTTGTTTTGTTTTTGTTTTTAGCCATATCTGCTGAAACTTTTGCATTAAGGTCTTACACGTTCCATTAAAACACAGTCTTGGTTGTCTCAGCCTCCCGTGAGAACTTGAACTTCAGTATCCTGCGAACAACATTAGAAACAAACTCTCACACAGAGAGGGAGTTTTCCACCTTGAACCAGGAACAAAGAAGAGCGTAATCATTTATATGTATGAAAATTATTTGTGTGCTTTGTGTTTTAGGAGAGTTTGCAGATTTTTAATGTTCCATTTATATTGTAGTCTCTGGGTAATAAGGTATGTAGTGTGTTAACAGGAGTTGGTAAACAGTTTTATAACTACTATTTTTTTTAGTTTTAAATCTTGTACCCCAAGAGTTTGTAATTACTCTTAGTATAGTGTAGTCGGACAGACTGTAGAGTCTGGCTCTGTGCATTGCTAGATGTGTAAATGAGGACCAGTTGCTTAACTTTTGATCTGAGCTTCAGTTCCCCACCTGTCATGTGGGCATCCTGGTGTCATATTAAATAGGAATTAGACCTACTAACAGAGCTTCTAATAAACAGTGTTTTAATCAAGGTGCAAATTTGCTTTGTTTTGGTTTTTTTTTGCCTCTTCCTACAAGAGGAGCCTGGCAGTGCAGGAGCACTATGGCAGCCCCACCGTGTCTTGGGGACCCGGATTCTGTCTCTCCCCACTTCACTGATCTTAGCTCACTATCCTATCCTCACGGTTGCATCGTCTTGTCTTTGTCCCAGGCAGCAGGAAGGAGGAGGTGGGAAAGGCAAAAAGGCCGTGTCTTCCTCTTAAGGAAACTATTTCACTCAGTCATTTGGTTGAAACCTTACTGGTCATAACTTGGTCTCTTGGTCATACCTAGCTTTCAGGGAAGCTGGGGCAGGTAGCCTTGTGTCTAGATGTTTTGCAGATAAAAGGCAAAAAGGGCTGTTAGTTAGGCTGGCGGTTCGGAGTATCCGCCACTAAGGTCTTCTGTGGAAATTTCAGTGGTTTCCCATCAGTTGAGAAATTATTCAGGAGTCAGCAGGTGGAGACCAAAATCCATCCTTAGAAAACCGACAAAGCTGATGTTTGAGAAAGGGGCGTGTATCTCTGGTCCAGTGTGTTTGCTAACGTTGAACCCTGGAGTTGAGCACACCCGTCCAGTCATGAAAGTGCTAGACTAGGTAGAGCGGCCGATTAAATTTGTGACAGGAGGGAACAAGGCAAAGGGAGTGGTGGGTGAGGGAAGAGGAGGAGAGGCTGGGAGTGCTCTTGTGTCTTCCGAAATGGGAGAGTGGCCCTTTCCCTTCTTCCTTCCTGCCGCACCTTATCTGAAGGTTCAGCAGGATGCCTGGCATATAGAAAGCATTTAGCTTGTGGTGATTGTTATTATAATGATGATTTGAGCAATTTGAGTAGCTGATAGTATTTCTCATACTCCATGCATTTAATCTTCCCCCATGTACTGCCATTTTAAAGTCACCATGGGATAAATTTATAAATAATTTAAAAGGGCTTTACAGATATCTTTTAGAGTAATAGTTTTAAACTTCCAGTGAGGTCACAGTGTCCTTTGCAAATTTCATGAGTCAATGTGTATGGCAAACATTTTACATATGATTTCTGGGGATACATGGACCTTAGGATAACATCCCATGGTGTAGCTAAAATTTAAAAAAGCACAAGTACTTACATATTACCATAAGACCCGTGTTTGAAGTACTTTTTGACCTTAACAAATTCTTAACCTGAGTATTAGTGGTTTTTTTTAAATCAATGAAAATAATAATAACTCCTCTATCACAAGGTTGAGAGTAAATGAGATTAATACACATAAGTTTCTGGGCCAGGCACAGAGTATTCACTCACTATTTGCTGCTGTCACTGTTGTTTTTACAATGATTAGTGTTGTTATTAAGCTTTGCCTTTCTAACCTCATATTGATTACCTTGTAGGTTCCAGTGACTAAGTTATCCTGAAGTTCATAACTTGGAAATAAAATTATTCCGAGCAAAAAGCTTGGTTCTTTAGATCTGCTTTCATTAAAAAAATAAGTCCTTAAAAGTAATCTTCACAATCTTTGATCCCTCTCCAGTAAGAAAGACCTCTCACTGCCTGCTGATGGCTCATCAGGGAAAAGATCATTTATTTGTATGCCTTTCAGAATATCCCCGTCTTCCTTTGCTTCCTCTCTCGGCTCCTTCCTGGCCCTGCAGAAGCAGACGGATGTCGTGGGTTTGATACCCGGCCTGTGTTGAAAACCTGGGAATGGTATTTATCCTGTCAGCAGTTCCTGGGTAGTTAGTGTTTTACATCTTCATCGTCTTTATTATTTGAGGAAAAGTCCTTAACTTTCCTCATTCCTCTTGGATGAATAGCTTCCGCTGCACAAGTTTGGTCCTTCACTAAGAGCTACAGGTCCCCTGCAGTTTTTATAGGTTGACTTTTGACACAGACCCCTTCTGTTCAGGGAGCCCATTGTGGGTACGGTAGTGCCGCCTTCTACCAGAACTCAGCTGCTAAAGCACATTTAAATGGACTTCCTAGGGGTTCTTTTGGTTGATATTTAAAATTGTCTGATTTTTTTCCTAATGACCAAAATAACATATGCTTATTGTAAAAATTCAGAAAACATAGAAATCACAAAGAAGAAAATAAAGACCTCCCATAGTTCCATCTCACCAAAATAGTCACTTCTACTGTTTTTATATGATTTTATGCAGGTCTTTTCCTATACATGTATATGTTTATACACCATCAAAATATTGTCTTTTCCCCAAAAGCAGTCCTTCTGTATGTACTGTGTTGGAATCCACTTTTTTCTTAACTGTATATCTGCTTCATTATTTTAAATAGTTGTATAGTATTTTATTGAGTAGATATATTATGATTTATTTAACTGGTACCCTACTAAGATGAATATTTAGGTTGGTTGTAATTTTTCGATAATTTAACTGCAGGGCAATAAACATTTTTATGTATCTGTTTTTGAGTAGTTTTATTGTCTTTTAATGCATTCTTAGAAGTTGAATTTGTGGGGGAAAGGCCATGTACCTACCGACCATCTATGAAAGTACCTTCTTCTATTCAAATTTGGGCATTTTCAGTAATTTTACTATTTTGCAATATGATACCAAAACTAATGTCTATGTGTTTTACATTGTTTCTTTGATGATTAGAGGTTGAACGTATTTTTGTTTTTTGGTCACTTGCATTTTGTGTGATTAAGACCGAAGTCCATCACGCTTGTTTACACTCTTAGGTGCCCATTTTGGCTGAACTGGGCCTTCTTTGCTCCCGTGTTGTTCCTGGCCATTGCCCTAGGTGACAAATGTCTGTGTGGGTGAAGCGTGTGTCTGCGTTCTTACATGGTCTTCATTGTCATTGCCGTTAAAAGAACGTGGAATTGTTCAGTTACATACTCGTTGTAGAAAACTGTTACTTTTCAAATCAGAAGATAAGGTGTTTTGACTGTAATCTTTTCGTATGACACAGGTCCTTTTGTTTTTACTTTATTGCTTTTAGGAGAAAAACAACAGTGAAGACATTATGTATTTATGCAGACTACAAATCTGACGAAAGCTATACTCCGAGCAAGATCTCAGTCAGAGTAGGAAATAATTTCCACAACCTTCAGGAAATAAGGGTATGTTTTTAAATTTTAAAATAGAATGTTATCATGTAACTCATGTTCTTTTGAGAATAGTTATATTAATATTAAGTTAGAGATTAAATGTTAATACAGGGCTGGTCAAAAGTAGGAAAACAGTCTTTTCTATGGAAAATAATGCAACAATTAATAAATAATATAAGAATAAACTATGTTTTATGTACTCACAACTGTAAACCTGCTTTTGTCAGCTGCTGTATATAAAAGTAGAATTGTTGATATTTAAGAAAACACTTTTAATTTTTAAAATATTTTAATTTTTTTCAATTTTAATTGTCGCCTTTAATTTTTCCCAATGTTTTATTATGGAAGTTTTCAGACATTCAGACTGAAATATGTGAAACATTGGAAATAAATTTTTCATTCCTGATATATGTGGTATGTGTTTGAAATGTTCGCTAGATGTCACTGTTGTCCTTTAATTACTAGACTCGTATCTTAGTTAATAAGTTCAAGACCTGAAGCAGTCTTAGCTGTACTAGTGCTTCCTATGTATATTCTAGGAAGTTCTTTGATACATTTTCGGAAATGTACATCTTCATACGTGATTTCTGTGTTTTATGTTCTGTTGTAAACTGGAGAAACTTTAAATGACATTTGGACTGTTGTGGAATACTTTTAATTTAGTCTTTACTTCTATTATATCATTTAAGTGCAAAACCATTTGCCATGTAGAATAAGGGCTCTTTTAGGTAGTGTCTTAATTTTATTCTAAGTGTGTTTATATTTCTGTATAGTGACCACATAACCTCATGAGACCAGTAATACTAAATATTACCAGGTGATAATGTAAGTTGTTTTCCTGAAAAACTTAATGAACATACTGCTTTTCTGCCGCAGTTCTCACTAAGGAACCATAATTCTTGTGTTTTGCTTTAAAATATTAGTGCTGCCTTTGCAGCTCATGATATAAAGGATACTTCATCTTTTAATAATATGTTTTTATATGTGATTTATTTTGCTTACCTTTTTCTTTTTAAGTTAAATAAGAATCTCAAAGCACTTTATTTTTTAAGGAAAATAAGCAAATCAGGATTTTACTTCTTACATTACTTCTCTTTTGAGATTGAAATTGTTATTTAAAAAATTTTTTGCTTCGTCTAACTCAGATAGTAAGTGATTAAAATAATGTGAACTTTGAGATTTTAGAGCCATCATTTCATTAGGTACAGGACTGATTTAACTGAGTGGAAAATCCAACAAAACTTTTTTATATTTTTCCATGGGTGCTTGCCCACTTGAGGGTGTAGTGTGTATTGGAGTGTTTTAAAAGGTTTTCCTTTTTTACTAGAAATTATGGATATGTTTATTTGAAACACTCTAAAAAACCAATTTTCTGTCATTTTAGTAGTGATTTGAGTAGTAACTAAAAAAAAATTTAGTTCAGGGTGAGAGGAGCTAATGGCTATGTTATTTATCCAAAGACTATTTTTTTTTCATGTTTTCCTTCATGTCAGTTATGAAGCATGAATTTATACTTACGTGCTTATTTACCTTCGTTGAAAAATCTCTGCAAAGAGATGAAGCCCCTCCTTTACTATTGTAGAATGCATATGTTAACTTCTAGATATGAGAAGGGACTTAAAGTGGAAGTGAGCTTTATACTTTCTGCTTAATGGCTGTAAGATACTACAGCTGGGTTTGGCCAAATAGAACATTTTTGACACCAAAGATAACTTTAGTTATGCTGCTCGTTCTGCTTTCTTTTTTCTTTTTTTCAAAATTATCTGTCATATGCAAATCAGAAATCAACAACCTAAGAACATTTTGTAATATGTTTAGAATTTATTTCTTCTATGCAAGAGACTATTTCTAAGTAGAAGTGAGGTTTAACACTCATTTAACACGAGTCTTGCTGTCGTTACTGTTTCAGAATACAGTATTTCAGTTGTGTTACTTTTGTGTAGTAGGTCTTGCTCCTGTGTTCGAGATGACACTCAAGAGAAGTTTTCAAATAAAGATACAAGTGCTTTTAAAATTTTTAAATCTTTATATTTCAGCATTATATTTTAGTGTAATGTTGTTCTTTTTCTTTGCTCTCAGAAGGGAGAATATATGTGAAGGAAATTTTTTGTTATTAAGATCGAGGAGCCAATGAATATTGGTATAATATTATTATGCCTTAAATGTGACTATTTTAACATTTTAGAAAACATCTCCAGCCAAAGTTTAAGAAAACTGAGTTCCTTTCAGTGTGCTGACTAGGTACAGTCACCCCTCAGACACTCCCACCCCCAACAATGCAAACCCATGGCTGTTCAAGGCCCTTATATAATGGGGTTGTACTTGCATATAACCTCTGCACATCCTCCTGTACACTTTAAATTATATCTGGATTATGTACACTGCCTGATATAATGTAAATGCTATGTAAACAAGTGTTACGCTGTGTTGCTTAGGGAATAATGACAAGACGGAAGTGCTGTACATGTTCACAGTGGAAGCAGCCATCATAGGCCTGACTACTTAGTGCATGTTAGCAACAGTGTAACCTTTCCTCCCAAATATTTTGATCATTCACGGTTGGTTGAATCTGCAGATGTGGAACTTGCAGATACAAAGAGTTGACTCTATTTTTCTTTTAAAAAAACTGTGGTAGAAACGTTTGTACTTAAATATAGAGCTAAAGTGTTTCATTAGACACACAGCCACAGCTCTCACAATTGGTCCTGTGAAAAACAACTTGGGAACTTATGTAAGATCGGGCAGACACTCTCCCAGCATATGTGAAAGTTGTCCTTTGGTTCCTTGTTAGCATTTTACTTCCAAAATTTGTCATCAAATTTTATCCTTTTGCCACAAAAGGATAAAATATTGATGGAACACAAGATGGAGCACTTAACTGACTTTTAAGCCTTTTTTCATCCTGGGATAATAAAGCTGTTACCAAGTGACTTTTTTAAGGTGGCTTGAAACAAGTTTTCCATGTTAAGAGGGCTGTAAAGATATTTTTTCTTCTATGTCCACGACGAGCCTTGAGCTCTCCTCCTTGTACACTAAATCACTAGCATGCCTATGGGAATCTGCACATGGCACTTGGACAGAAGTGGTTAATAAGTCAGCTCTTCTACTAAAATAACATTTACTTTTGTAAGTCGAGTTCCATTAATGTGTGTGGTAGAATAAGAAGACGGAGACAAAGACTCTGTCTCTATCAGATGATGTTAAAACCTACTCAAATTTACTTTCTTACACAACTTGATGTAAAGTGGAATGACTGAGGCAGTATCTGCAAAGATAAATTGGATTGAATGTTTCATTTATTGAGCCTTTGGAAAAAATCATTTTTGTTGAAATCAGCTAAAAAATATATATGTATATGTGTGTATTTTTAAAATATTATTTATTTTTACAGAGAGGGGAGGGAAGAGAGAAAGAGGGAGAATCATCAATGTGCAGTTGCCTCTCATACGCCCCTCACTGGGTATCTGGTCTGCAACCCAGGCATGCGCCCTGGCCAGGAACCGAACCAGTGACCCTTTGGTTCGCAGGCTGATACTCCATCCACTGAGCCACACCAGCCAGGGCAGAAAATATTTTTAAAGCCAGTTTTATAACTAAATTTAGAATATCTTTGAAATGAGTATAGAATGCTTTGGTGTGATACACATAATTTTTAGACTACTAATGTTATTCTCTCTTATCCCTCACTTAAAAGTAACATATGCAATTAAAAAATTATTCACAGTTATATACTTATTTCCAAAATGGAGTTGGGACAACTATGCATTTGGGCTATATTTCCTTTTGAGATTAAAATATTTGACACGATAGAATATCATGTATTTTTTAAGAGAGAAATAGTCTTGTATCTCTCGGACCGCAAACTTAGACTATGGGTTTTTGAAGAGATGCAGTCCGGCATTCACATACGAGATGAATTCTTGCTTTGTCTGGTGAACAGTTACTTAGGGCTTGCTCAGTGCCTGGCCCTGGGCGAGGTGCTGGAGATACAGCAGAGTCAGTCGGCCTTGTGCCCTTAGCACCTCGTGGTCTGATGGAAGAGGCCCGCAGGTAAGTATTCACAGGTGAATGATAAGTAGGCAGAGGGGCTGTGTGAGGCAGATGGACTGTGACTGGTGTGGGAGGTTTTTCTACTGACTCCTCCTGACAACTAGAAAGCCCCCTCGGGTGGAGAACAAAGTGGGGGTATTCTAAACGAAGGTGTGGAGGCCTCAGAGCAGAGCTTAATGACAGAAGTGCGGGTAATTAAGTGTGCCTGGAAGCTGGGCGGGTGGGAGGGCGTGGCAGGAAAGACTGGAGAAGAAGTATTTATGCCTTCAACACATTCTTCGTGAGAGTAATATGGCCTCTGTATGTAAGGAGCTTACGTTCTCACAGGGAATAAATATATAATTGTTGCAGCGAAAATATATAGGCAAAAGTCAGACTGTGCTTATTGTCAGACATCTAGGGAGGAAAGAGTGATAAAATTCAGTCTTGGGGGAATGCTGGGGTAGAGCAGTGTGAAGACCAGGTAGGCAATACCCAGGTGAAAATTAGGAGGATTTTACTAAGGCTGTTGGTTTAACTAAGTTGAGCTCAAGAGAAAGGCCTGCAAACCAAAGAGTCCCCAGTTCGATTCCCAGTCAGGGCACATGCCTGGGTTGTGGACCAGGTCCCCAGTGCGGGACATGGTAGAGGCAGCCACACACTGATGTTTCCTTCGCTTTCTCCTTCCCTTCTCCTGTGTCTAAAAATAAATAACTATTAAAAAAAGAAAGAAAGAGTAAAGGAGTGTGCCAGGACTGTAACCATGAAAATGCTAACATTCAAGGATACAAAAAGATTATCCAGTGAAAAAAGCTGTAAGACGGGTGGGGGAGTGGAAGACTTAGGAAAAGGGCGGGTAAATAGTGATGGAGAGAGACTACACTTTGGGTGGTGAACGCAATACAGTAAGTAGGCAGAAGACATAGACCTGTACACTTAAAACCCGCATCATTTTATTAACCAATGTCACCCCAATACATTCA